TTTTCACGATTTTGGTGAAACGATGGTGCGCGTAATAAACGTTTGATAAACGTCGATGGGTTGTTCAGAATCCTGGCCGTTTCGATTTAATATCATACGATGTGTCGGAACGCAGCATATTTGGACGTGGAGCGGTGTAACCGAGAGAAAGGGACGCACGATACTTTTCTTGCCCGTCAAACCGAGAAATCTGGGGGCGCGTGGATTGCGACAAAAAGTGCGGGAAAGTGCGCGGCCAACCTTCGCCCGTGAAATTTCGACAATTGAAAACGGCGCAGGCATACAGAATTCGCGAAACGAAAACGCGGTTATCTCTCTCTCTGCGTTATGGCGGACATCTCTGGACGTGGCTTCGCATACGAATGAATATTCGTATTTCAGGATTTTCAGGATTTTCAGAATCGACGGGGTGTGTGTGCTGTCAAAGACAAGGGTTCGTTTCAGAATGTTAAAAATTGGTTTAAATCTCGTTTTTGTTTTTTTCTTAAACTTTATATTAGTTATTAGTTTACATTGAGAAGATTTTGGAAAGATGCTAGATGGAAGAATTGGAATTCCTGTCAGATGGAATTGCATTTAAATCATTTAAATTATATTTCTTTATCTTATAATCTGAAGAATTAGATTAGGATTTTTAATTAATTAAAATAACGTTATATTATGTAATAATATTGTTATGTAATAATGATTAATTAAAAATAGTTTAAGAATAGTTTCAAATCTTTATATCTTTTGTAAATCATTAAATGTATCTCTATTATGTTAGGTTTGTAGATTAAGTGTATAATATAAGTAAAAAGATTAAAATTGTAACATTTATTATTTGATTATGTTACAGAAATATATTACAATCTTCCTCCTGAAAGAAGATAATTATAAATTACACGTTTCAAATGGATAACTCTATTTTCTTCTAAAATTTTATTTATCTTTTTCTACTTACATAGAAATAGCGTTACATCTAATGGAAATATTAAATAGAAAATGTAAAATCATTGTCAGACTTCCTCTGTAATCATATCTCAATTTAATTTTTTTTTCTCAGCATGAATCAATGGTAATTGCTTTAATATGTACGTAGTTAATTATTTGATTCATTTCTGATATTCTTCTTAAAATGGTTTATGTATCTAATGATTAGAATGAAGAATAGATTTACGTCAACGTGACAATGAAAACAATTAAGAATTATCTTTATCAAAAAAAAAAAAAAATAAATAAATAAATGATATACTTCTCACACTCAATGAATCATATTTAATAATAAACTTACATTTTTATCTGATTAAGAAACAATTATTTGAAGTGGCAACTAATTATCTCAAGTCTACAAGACTTGAATCACGTTCACAATATTCCATGTAAACGCTAATAATACCTTTATTAATTCAATCTTTCATGGTATATTTTCTTATCTCATTAGATGTCAATCAACTTTACCAACTTTACTACAAAATTACCATATAATTTTTCTATTTTCGAACTAATAGAAAAAAAATTGAGTTAGTCATAGATTACGACTTATTCTCAACTTTTTTTCTTAACTTTTTTAGGAATACCATTTTCTAAATTAATATTTAATGGATCTTTTTTTTTTTTTTTGAATGTTGGATAAAAAAAAAATTCTCATCGATTCCAAAGTACAAAATGCTATATAATATGATTATAAAGATAATCGAAAGATATCGATCACTGTACATCGTTTCCACTAACCTCACTTTGCTTTCTACAGTGGCGCTGCTATCTCGAGAAACGGCCTTGCGAAAGGCAAATCGCAACAACACACGGGACAACAGGATATACATTCGTAGGCATCGTGGGCAGCCTTGTCGCGACGTCCATGTCGGAAAACACCTGCGTTTCAACGGCCTAGAACAGCAGACAATCCTTTACGTCGGCGACCTTCCGCAAAGTATTGCGAAACTATCGTCCACTGTAAACGCAACCTATGCCATCGAGATGCATAGGATTGCCCGTTTGACTCTGCTTGCACGAATGTCTAACGTGCACTGTCACACGATGACAGCCCACCATTTGTTTCACCAGAGTGGTTCAACGTTTGTTGAACAACGTTATCCGTGTTCAACAATATCGAAGTTAATATTTTCAAATTAATTGAAACGAATGCTTTGTTATTTTTTCCATTTGCAATATGGCAATAAGTCGATTCGTGCAATTATGCAAAAATATATGCGGTAAGTAAATAAAGAAAATAAAGTTATAAATAATAAGTTGAAATAGTTTAAGTTTCAAGAGTTTTATAAATGGAATAAAATTTGTCAGCTTGTAATTTGAGGATAATTTTAAGTTGATAATTTGTAAATATTTAATGAGAATAAGAAGGTTAATAACTGTTGATTGTTATTAGAAATTGTGTAATTAGAATGTAAGTATAATTAATATGTTAATATTATATGTTAATTTTCAAATAGATAAGAATTAAATAAAAATTTAACTTAAAATTTAATCCATTTGGCAAAAGTATATATATATATATTTCTAGATATTATCGAGACGTTCAGCAATTTTCATTTTCTTCTCAATCGAACATTTATGAGTGATATACAGTCAGGTCACTGTAATTCTATGAACAGTATTCCTGGTGTTCGGCACCCCCCATGGCGAGAAGTGATTCTAAAAAAACTCGATATGGGCAGGGTTAAAAGAAAGAAGGAAAAAGCAGTCATTGCCAAAAAAAGACACATCGTAGCAGATGTATTGGATGGTACAGAAAAATAAGGGACATGAATGAGCTCATTATCGATTCGGCATCGGAATTGCTTAATTTACTCATTCAGGGACCTACATACGTTTTTTCGGAACATAAATGTTTAAGGATAATATTGTATAAAGATCTAGCCTTACATTTGTATTAAGATATAAATTGAATAATTTTTCCTTTCCATTTCGATAATAATTAATAATAAATCGTATTTTTTATGCAATATTTATTGCATATAATCAACATTTATAAAAATTTATATATAAATTTATATATAATGTGATTACAAATTAGAAAATTAAATGGTGAAATAAGATGAAATATATGATCAAAGACTAAATAATACGTTTTGCAGATATATTCGAAATTTTAAATTATAAAAATAATTTTTTATTAAAATTAAATCCTTGTTTCACATTTAATATTTTAACTATATGTTTTAAGAATGTTTTGTAAAGAATAGGTTCGACAAACGAATATTTGATGGAACTTTTTTTTTAATGTTTTAGAATTCCGTCCTATTCTCTTTGTTGACAGTTAAATTTTCGTTTGTTTAAATCCCGTCCTTACATTGTCACCAAAACAGTGCCTCGTGTCACATGTCTGAATATATTATTTTTTTACAAAGTTATCGTTCACATTTTAAAACCGAAAATGTAGTATCTATACGTTTGAATTGAAAATTAAAGTACATTGTAGTTTTAAGAAAGAAATGATGGATGTATATTCAATTCCGCGTGATCACGCGCCAAAAGTATAGATAAAGAAAACAAATAAGAGAGAAGGACAGAGATAGAGTAAAAATTAGGAAATTAGCGCCATCTGTTGAATGCCTTACCTGGAACAAATGTAGACAAAGAAAACAAATGGCAGGAAAAGGATGGAGATAGAATAGGAGTTGATCCCTAGTGTCATCTTTCGGATTATAAAGACTACATTGAAAGCAAGATAAAGTAGAACAAGAATTGAAGATCAGCGCCATCTCTTGTATGCTTTTCTTTGTATGCAAAGAAATATGTCTTTTGATATCTAAGAGATGGCGTTGACGGTTAATTCTTAATCTATTTTATCTTGCTTATTTTTAAAATAAAAATTGACCGTTAACGCCATCTCTTGGATAACAAAAGACATATTTCTTTGCATGCAAAGAAAAGCATACAACAGATGGCGCTGATCTTTAATTCTTATTCTACTTTATCTTATTTTTAAAGAAATATCTTTATCACCCGAAAGATGGCACTAGCGATCAATATCTATTCTATCTCTATCCTTTTCCTGCCATTTGTTTTCTTTGTCTACATTTGTTCCAGTTAAGACATTCAACAGATGGCGCTGATTTCCTAATTTTTATTCTATCTCTGTCCTTCTCTCATTATTTGCTTTCTTTGTCTATACTTTTGGCGCGTGATTATAAACGCGTTACGGGATATCAAAAGATTTAAAGTAAAGAAAAAAAAAAATACATTAGACAATGAATTTATTCTATAACATCTTATATTAATAATTATTAAATAATAAAATAATATAATTTGTTTTTATTTTATTAGCATAAAATACTAAAGTTTTTATGTTAATAAAAAATAATTAAATGCACATTATTGATTGATTTTAATATCTTTCTGAATAATAATAATGATATATTTGGATTGAAAACAAATGTTCTGCATCAACTTAATAATATTGATGTATATCAAGTATGTAATACAATATTTCATAAGAAATATATATTACATACTTCTTATATTTCTTATTAAAAATAAACGTATTAATTATAGCTAGTAACCTTCAAAATTTTTCATTCGAACGACAGGTGCAACAAATATATGGGGTTGCGTTATGGGGAATTACTATGGAAACCTATAGAATGCTCTACAGTTGACTAATGGAAATTGAACTTTGCTGCACGTACTTTGACGTTAAACGTCGAACTCAAAGGGTTATTGAAACCAATTTCTCGTCTAATTAGCGACAATTTACGGATAATTAATTACGCCGATGTGCACCAGTAGCGATAATAGTGTTAAAACAAGGAATGATACGTCGAAGAAGAATGTGATATCCGCACAAAATTTATTTATGAAACCATTATTGCGGTTGAAACAGCAAGAACATATTCTTGAAAAAGGATTAATTAGTGCAATTAAAAATATGAAAATAGACTCGAATTTATTACAAGATATCACGCACGAACATACAGAGTTATCCTTAAGAAGGTAAATATCGTCATATGTATAATATCTCAATATTTTAATATTTTAATATTACGCTATTCAAATTAATTCAAATTAATTCAAATTTCTCGTAATAATGAAATTAATAAAAAATTAATCCTCCATGATTTTGAACACGTGTCCATATATGAGAAATAAAATTCGAGTATTAAAAATTATAAATTAAAAATTATAAATTCAAATATATCTACAAATCTATATTTAAATATAAATAAATGTTAAAAATTTATTTTATTTGATAATATTTGGCAGACACAACTATTTAGATACAATGTACAAAAATATAGAAAATATTATTTCCGATTTGGATTCTGTAAAAAATATCGTTAAAAATCCGGAAGAAATTAAGAAATTAGGTAAATAAATATATTTATTCTAAAAATTACTTCTATCCTAATAAACTTATATTTAAAATACTTGTGTTTATATTTAGATGTAAACATGTACAAATCAAAATTGTTAAAACTTTCGCAAAATATGCAGGATTTCAAAAAAACTTATCCCGTTCAAACTTTAAAAGAGGAAGGGGATGCTTTAAATGCTGAATTTCAACAATGTAACTTTAATTTGGATAAGTACGAGAAAAATGCAACGCACACGCCATTATTGTGTAAAATTAAAACGGAAAATAAAAAGGAAAAAATAGAATTTAAAGACGTGGATGATTTTCATGGCCTTGTTGCGATAACAGGTAATAGAAATACTTACGTGTTCGTCAAAGATTAAAAATCATTTTAAAATATCCTTAAAAATTCAACAAAACAGGTCACACGGAAAATTGGACATTGGATGATCACTTGTTTTTTCTAAAAATGAGAAAGAAATGCAAAAGCATTCCAACTCTAGTTACAATGATTCAAAAAAAGTGTCCAGATTTAACAGCTGAAACTATAGTGAATCACGAGGCATGGTACAAACATTATCAAGATTTGCGTGAAAGACAAAAGATGGCGGTGAAGGAATGGCGTCAACAAAAAGAATTAGAGAAAAAAACAAATATCGATGAGATTGGGAAAGAAATCGATTTCCACGAAGAGGAAGATTTCCAAAATGAAATTGTTGAAGAGAAAACGATAAAAGTTTTTAAAAAGACAAGATCAAGTCATTCGGAAACTAACAGCAGTGCAAGTTCGAAGAATAATAATAACGAGAAGAAAGAATTGATCAAAAAGTGGAAAATTGAGAAGGAAAATAAACGTTTTATGGATGAAGAACAGATGAAAATGCAAATGAAGTTGAAGAAAGAAAGGGAAGAAAATAGAAGAAAGAAACGCCAAGAAAAGATTCAAGAATCTTTGGAAGAATACAAAAAGAAAAAATCAATGGAGAATACTTTGAAAGAAATGAATAAAGTTAACAAAGAGAAATGTAAATATAACGCAACTTTAATTAGAGCGTTTAGGTAAAATTTCAATGTTGTAAATAGCAAAATAAATAAACAAATAAATAATGAAATATACAAAGAGAAATTTTTCTTACAGGGAGCAGGATAAAGAATATACTGAGAAAAGGAAAAATTTAATTCTACGTTCAAAGAAGCCAAAGAAAAGCGACTTGATGGATGTAAAAAAGGTGGAACTCGTTGAAACGCGAAATTATTCGACATTGTTAAATAGTACGAAAGTTTGGAGGGAGAAATGTAAAATCGACGATTCAAAAAAGTATTCGAACGAATTTCAATATATCAAGGATATCCCAAAAATGTGAGTAATTAGATATTATTATTAAACCGTTTTTTTATTTACATATGGATGGTATTACAGGTGTATCCGATGGAGGAACGAAGAATCGGAGGATCTAAAAGTCTAATAAGAAATATACCGATTAAAAAATGTAAAAGACATTAGTATAAATGATCGTACGTATTATCGTATATGCCTAATTTATTGTACTCGTAAAAGTTTTATCATTTTTATGGGTAACACGCTAACGCGGCTCAAAGTACGTATAAATATACAATTTCTTTTCCACACGTGAATTTTACAGAATTTTCCTTTAATTTTAATTTTTTTCTAAAACAATATTCAACAATAATCATGCGATCAAACGCAAACTTAAAAATTACCTAATTCCCTGTAATTTAATCAAAAATACAATTATTTTTTTTTCTTTTTTTTTTTTTTTTTTTTTTTTTTTTCTTCAATTAATCAATGCTTGGATATACAGGTATTGAAGAAAGAAGAGGAAAATTATTACAGCTAAAAAATATACGATATGTTTTACTCCTCCTTTCGTTTATAGCTTCAATAAATTAATTAATCGAACAGAGCATACTCTTAGAGCAGCAAATATTTAACACAATTACTGCATAATAATTTATATATTAATCGGTATTATATTTGAAGGTATTTTATTTACAGTAATTGTACTTACTTCCTGTTCGAATATTCCCAAACTCTTCGGAATCACTCTTCCACTCTAGAGGCGAACGAAATCTCGGTGTCTGTTTTGTACTTCGTTTCCGAATTGATATACTAAAAGTATTCTCCTATATAGTAACAGTCTTCCATGAGAAAGTATCCACGAAACGCGACAGTTCAACCAAATTTGATGGAACGAAACCGTGTCTCGTGATCGATCCGTTTTTTTTTTTTTTTTTTTTTTTTCTACTAATCATTATACTTCGAGATTGTTACTTTTTCTTCTTTTATCCACCACTCTGTTATTTACAATCTTCGCTAAAATCTTCGAATTACAAATAAACCCATACTACTTGTCGTCTATTGCCACGAGGAAATTCGTACGATCGAAACTCGCCATAATATTGGCTATACAAATTGCTGTACAAATTGATCTGTTCTGAAAATTATACAAGATTATTGGATTCATTTTGAAAACGCGACCTCAGCACAACACGACGCAACTTTATCAAACTTCTTAAAAAATTTTATGTAACAGATCTCTTTTTGTTTTTTTTCTTTCTTTCTTTCTTTCTTTCTTTTAACTTTAATTTTAAAGTATAATTTTTCAATTATAAAAAAAAAAAAAAAAAATCAATTGAAAA